GTGTCTCGGTAATGGACACCTGGTTTAAAGGCACGGAGCAGCTCCATGCCGGTTCCATTATGGTTGAGGTATGCCAAAATTTGGAAGCCCTCACTCACGCATGCCTGGCCCATCGAGTACAATGCCTGCTGGAATACAAAGCGCACAGTGCCACTCTCTGCAAACCGGATGCCGCGACCATCGTGAGTAAGTCCTACTACATAAGGGTCAGAGGTGGAGGTGGTACGGAAGACTGGGCGATAGTTTGTGTGGTAATGTGCAGAGACCATTGCCTGTGCTGTCATGGCAACCGCACCGGTGTCATGAGAGAGCCAGAGGAGGCTGAGTGGGGCAACGGAGGATTCGAACAGCTGCAGACCTTCAGCGCTTTGGTTACAGTGGTGGGTGGCACTCCGGAGGAAGAGGGATATGATGTGACCTGGGGCGACCTCTGCTACCCCACTGATGCTAACACCTTGGAGCGATCTACCCTCCTGCTGCTCCACACGAACCCCACTGAGGTCACGACCTTCAGAGCCGGCTGTGTTGTTCATGCGCAGACACACTTGGATGAAGCTGCGGCAACCATGGGTCACTGAGAGATTCTCATCCAGCCATATGAGACCATGCTGTCTCAGACCCAGCTGCCCACTCTCAGTGGACACCAGATCATCGCCTCTTCCCTGTATGTGAAGCTGCACACCGAGGAAGGCTTGAGCCAGCATGTGTCCTTTTTCCCCCTGCAGAGTCACCTCTCCAGACCAGGACTGAGAGAGGGCACTGTGGCCGGCAGTATGGCCAGAGCAGACAGTGTCTGTGGTAAAAGTGCAAGGAGAGACCACCGTGTCTCCATCACACTCATTGCAGGCTTGACACTCATCCATCTCTGAGTTGAAGAAGTAGCCGCGGCCACACATTCCTGAGTGTGCTTCTCCCTCTCTCATGTCCTGGCATCTGAATCCACCTGGTAAGCACAAATTAAGAAAAGAACAAACAATTCTTCTCAGACATGTATATAATGTTTGACCAAACTATTGAACGCACTATTTATGAAAATAAGCAAATCAAGAAGAAGCACTGACATAACAAAAATATTCAAATGTTTAAAACAATTCAAAGCACCTGGAGTGTTGAGACACTTCTGTTGACCTCCGCACAGATCAGCTATTTCAAGACATTCATCTCTGTCCTGTAACAAACAAATGGAAACTTTCAGTTTGGAAGGTAGGCTCAAGAGATGGGTTGCAAAGTAGCATGCAGATGCTGCAACAACTCCAGGCGAGCACTGAAAAAGTACTGAACCAAAAGGCCTACTGCTTCTAATATGGTCCACTGGTAAAAAATGTTTTCCTTTGCTTTGACAAACCTTGTGATAAACCTTTTATTGTAAGGCTCATAAACCTTACAATAAAACACCGCAAGTGCATAAAGTTCTAAATGAATAAACTAAACTTCAGTCAAAAGAAGATTTTCATTTCCAGCTGCCATCGTTTATATTCAGATACAAGTGACAACAGATATGGTATGATAAGATAGGACATTTTAAGTATAAAAAGGACCTGGGGTTGATATGGTTTGCAAAGTGGCTTTTAGTGGCAGCAGCAACTTTAGCCAGGCTAAAGCAGCTTAACTAGCCCACTCTGTATGAAATTTGCCAATGTGAATGCACAAAAACACATCAGCATAGCCATCAGTTGATTTTGTCTGATTTAGATAAACTTTCAGCAGCTGTTGCACAGGGATTCCAGACTAAGCTTCGCTTGGTGGCCTAACTGATCTGATCTTATGTTACATTTTTGTCAAGCTGATTTGTCACCGCTTTGCTGTATGTGGTTAAAAGACATGCTAACACATGCTAACCTGGCAGATCCTGTCTGCGTGTACTGAACACTGGGCGACCAGGAAGAATCCAGCAGGACAGACGGTGCACTTCTCACAGCGAGGACGGCCACTGCTGTAGCCACAGTACTCATCAGGCCCACAACTGCCACAGGTCAAAAGGGGCCGACCCACCTAATGGCATTGAACACAATGATACTTAGAATCAAATATAATATTTTGATATTAGAATGCTTGACATAATGTTCACTAATGCACTCCAGTTAAAGAAATATGTTGATGTTAAAGTTAAAAATTGACAAAAAAAATTGTAATATTTTATTTTATTTTTTTATATTCAGTGACAACAAGTGATATTTTAAGCATAAAAACAGGAAGGTGAGATTGATATGGGTTGCAAAGTGGCTTGCAAAGGCGGCCACAAGTTTATGCAGGCTACAGCAGCTGAACAAGCTCAAAATTGTCAGGTATGAATAGAAGTACACTCAGATTTGCTTATTTAAGATTCTGCTATAGTGCAATTTATGCTTTATATGACAGTTAGATCTCTTACATCTCATCACTACTGTAAACATATTTATAATTTAGCTTAAGGCTCACCTCCATCACAGTGGCCTCCATGTCCACTTTGTGCAAAGAGAGAGCCTGCTGTGCTTGGTGAGCTCTAACCTGCCCACTCAAGGTTTCCATGCGACTGTCCAGCTCCCCCTGGAGGTTCTGGAAAGATGTTTGTTTGATGCTGTCCATCAGTATGTTGTACTGAGCTTTTACCTGGAGGAAGAGAGAACTACTTGTATAACACTTTGGAATTGTCTTATTTCTTCACTTTGCTAGGAAATATTGTCCTTATCTGATTCATAATGAAACTGATTCAGGGAGTTGAGAAAAATAATATAATTTCAGTGGATTAGGTGCTTTCTATGCACTTAAAAAAAAAAAAAAAAAACACTTAAATACTGCCCAAAGACTATGGGGCTATCTACTACTATAGGACTACTGATATCTCCCTCATTATCAGTCACAGCAGCCTTACTTGCTCCATCTGCTCATACATCCTCCTCTGCTGGTCAAGTATTTCTCTCTGCTGGTTGACCAACGTTCCTTGCTGCTCACTGAGCAGCCTCTGTAGCTCCTTGACCTCGTTTTGTTGGCCTTTGAGGGCCTCGACGAACCTTTCCTGACTCTTTGACAGCTGCAACTGCAGGACTAGAGCATCCTCTGAGGGAACGTCATTGTTCCCTGTAGTAAACAAAGAAACCTGTTACATAGCAACTGAAGTGATTATCATTTTTAGTTTATTTCTCTTTGAATTTTCTGACCAATCGCTTGCAAACTGATACCCACCTGGTTTCATGTCACATGTCAGCTGAATCCATGCTCCACGTTGCGACCCAAGGTCTGGGAACTCGTCCAGAAATTGTGCCGCTCTGTCCGTCACATGAACAGGTGACGAGCTTCCTCTCCCGTCGTCTCCTTGCGTGCTGCAGCCGTCTCCAACGCAAAGCTTACCGTTCCTCTGGCGCATCCGGGAGGGCAGTTTACATCCAATGCCTTTGCACTCCCGCGTTGCGCTGTCATCACTCGTGGGGCGATGAGAGACAGTCGTCGGACAGGTGCCCCCGGCGCAGCCAGGGTGGAACACCTCCGCCGTGATGGTCCTCGGGTTCGTCCTCCTGGTGCCATCCGTACCTGCCGCCTGCGTAAAGCCTCCGTGCTGAGGCTGGATGACGGTGTACGGTGCTAAGGGCGCGCTCTGTGCTTTGTGCTGACGGAAATGAGCGTCGTGTTGATAAGTCGGATAGGTTTGTCCTTGCCTGGATTGTGCAGAGTGGTCAAACTGCCGTCGGGACGCGGATGTGTCCGTGCGCCCTTGGCACTGCGCTCCCACGCACGGTCTGCTCCAGTCGTGACCAGAAAAGCAGCGCGGTCCTCGGCAGATGTCCGATACACTCCCCGTGAAGAACAGAGTTGTGACAAAAAGTGAAAATATGAGAGAGATTCCTGCCATGTTGCAATCCTTAAAGGTAAAAATGTAAAACATCCACGTTTTAATGGGGGCCTCTCAGAGCATCAGAGCGTCCTTCAGACTTGTGGATACTGTTTGATCATCTCTTTAAGAAAATATCCATCATATCAGTAACTGCAGGATCAGCAATTGCCAGTAAAAACCGTAAGCAACTGCGCACTCATGCAACTAGCCTCCATTGCGCACGAATTCAGACCCCTTTGCCCCTTCTGTGGATAGTTCGGTCTAGTCCACATGTGGCGCTCAATGCTTCTAATTGGCACCAGGTTTTGCTCCTAGTCTTAAATTAACCCGTAGCTTTCCCGGACATACCACTCTGCCGAGTCACTCCATTCCTACTCAAGCACCGCATATTTGGACTATCCTTAGGTTATTTTTATTCTCACACTTTGGATGGTCAGTCATAAGCACTTTTACACACATACAGCAGTGACGTGGAGCCTCTAAAAGGAATTTCAAGGACTTTGTTTACAGAATCTTTCACATGTAACTCTTTCTTTCTTCGCCCTTTACGACTGATTTGGATGACAGGATTAATCCTGTGGTTTTTTAACAAGCCCCGTCAGAATGAAAAACTTTAAATGACATCAAAGCTTTGATCTCCTCTTTGGTTCTGGGTAGAGTGCTGACTTCTAAACACAACTCTGGTGTATTACAAAGCTGGAGTCAAAACTGCCTCTCCTGTAAAATGTAAACTCTATTACATTTTATTGCCACTCTTATTTCCCTTCTCTGACCCCACATGGCTTTGATTAAAGCTTTAACCCACATTAGAAGCACTTAAATGCTCCCCTCTCTTCTTATTTTCACAGCAAAATGGCATTCACCCTCTCATCACACACCAAGGAAGCCTGTGTGTAGCTGCACATTACTTTCTTGTAAATCAACCAGAAGAAGAGTTTACAAACAGCCACGATAGATGTCCTGAGCTGGCAATGCAGACATTCTCAAAAGGCTGTATAGAGGGCTTAAAATGCAATGTGCACACACATATGCACAGTTGCCAGCTAATGTTGGAGGTGCAACACATAAATTAGCAAGTGTGAGACCACATAGGACTCTGAATATGGCGACAAGTCTCAATAACGCTGAACAAAGGTTCACAGTGATTAAAAGCCAGATTGGGGGGGGGGAGGGTCGTCTATTATCTGAAAAGCCTCAGTGCAAAAATATTTGTTGCAGTTTTTACATTATTAGATTTTACACATTCTATCTGCACAGCAGTGCTTTAAATATTAAATACACTACACTGTATTGTCTACAATCGCACCTCTGCACTAAGTTCGTGTGCATTTTATTTGTGATCATGCAAAAGCAAAGCACCAAAGGAGAAAAAAAAGTACACCACATCTTAAAATAACAGACAGATAAAGAAGAGATGTCATCCTGATGAATCATGTTTATTCTATGCATCTATTCCAGCAGCTCTTTTGCTTTGCTCTGCGCTTTGCTCGCTCACATTTCAAAGTTGTCAAATACGATTTTGTTTGAGGGCTTAAAGCTGTTTGCACCACCCCACTCCACCCCACTCCACCCCACTCCACTCCACTCCACTCCACCACTGTCCGTAAACAATCTTTGGTAGAACTTTTTTCAACATCGTGCTGTTGTTCCCTTAAGTAAACATTAACATATGGCCGTGCGGCAGGGAGTCAGTACATTTAACATTTAATGACAAGAAACAGTTTCATCTTATCAAAACCACTTCGCATCAGGGAAAAGCTGAAACATGCGCACCGCTCTCCTAAACTCAAAACAGCATTTTGTTTTATTGTAATCTGCAGGGGTTCTGTGTAGTCTATTGCACTCAATATAATAAATATAAGATCTGTTTTCGTTCATATTTCAAAATGTTCTAATCCTTTGTGTACGTTTTCTAAAAGACCTTTTGTTGTACAACGTTTGCAAATGATTTCCCACCACGGCATCTTTTTATAATAACACATTATAGTGACATATTATAAAATATTAATAATTTTAATAATGTGTTCATGTATGTTAGTTTTTAATGATGATGTATGACAAGTAAAGCCTATAGAGGTGTAATCAACCTCGTAAATATTTTGTAGACCAAATATAAAAGAAACATCTATCAGTTAAGGAACTATTGATAGCTCTTACCAGAAGAAAGTAGTGAAAATAACTGTGTGGCCCTGCCAGGCCAGAAGTAGAGCCCAGAACACTACTTAAGCCCTATCTGCTTTACCAGAAAAACTTAGATCTACTTCCTGATTTCAGAGGAAGCTGAGCGAATATCTGTAGCATATCAGGCAGTGCAGACAAAGTCACATGTGCAAGTGCTCACATATAGACTGACCTGTCAGGGTTGCAGCAATGACACTCACTCTGTGATGCTTCCACGTGTCAAAGACAGAGGAAAGGTAAGAATGCTAAAATGTGTTAATGAAAGATAGAGTTTGTATTTAAGTTGGTTGGAACTTCATAGTAAATCAATACAATAAAAAATATGCTACTACTGAATTCAGAACTACTGTGTTAACAGTTCAGTGTTGTGCTGCAGGATAGCCTTAAATAAAATGAGCATGATTAAATCAGCATTTAAGAGCTGCAGTCTTGCTTTTGCGAGTTTTGGTTGTTTCATGTAGCTGTAAGTCCAGGTCAGCTCAGTGATGCTCTTGTTGCTCTGGCTCTCGCTGTATTTTGGGGCTGGTTGTCACACTGCAGCCTGATGTTAAGAGTGATCACACTTTCATGGTGAGCGATGGATAAGAATCTAATCATCTGAAGTATGTAAAGCTTTTGGCTTACTGTGCATGCACACATTTCTGCCTTCTGTTGGTTCTTTTAAGAGTTAAATACTTGAATGGCCACATCAGCTTTGCTGAAGACAAACACATGCTCTCTCACAGCAGCCAGTGGACGGTTGTGCAATTAATTAGAAAACAGCAAGAAGCTCTCGACCGCAAGAAGAGAGAAAACATGTTGGCTTACTGTTAGCAGGCAATGCACTGTGATTCCTTTCATGCACGTACATCTCAATAAATCGCCTTTTGTGCTCAGGCTTTGGCACGGCCGCCTGCGTGTCTCTTGGCGTTGCCTCGTTTTTGTTGATGTGTGAGACCACATCGGGAGGCAGAGGCAACACTCTGACATGCCTGATGAGAGCGTGGAATTCATAAACAAATGTGGTGTTTGCGATGCTTGCTTTCATGAGCGCAGTCTGCAAATGCACATTTGTTGAAATTAATCGGGAAAAAAATTAAACGAAAAGGTTACACGAGACAAAGGAGACGGAGGATTGGAATGAGTTTCACATGTGTGACGCAGAAGTCCAGAGGTAAAGTTCTGTAGCGATCCAAAAATTTCACTTTCATGTGGAAGCAATACCTAGTGAGCTACATCTCGCTCCACTCTTCCCCTTTTACCCCGTTTCACTTTAATGGTCTGTTTACTGCTCGGCGTAAACACAGAATGAGACTGAGCAACAGAGATGGCACAGCGGACGCGCATCTGTCGCATGAGAATGCGCAAGTTATGCAGAGACTAATAAATACAGGCAGACAGTTTATACATGTTTCAAACAACATGTATGACTCGGTGCACACAGGACAGAATCTGCATGTTCTATACTTTAAGCTGCAGCTTTAATGTTTGCAATATATTAGGACCAAGCTAAACAGCCCAACCGATGTCTGCTGTGGTCATCCTTTATTTATATTACTGACCTCGACTTTATTATTCAATGTCCATAATCACGATTAGGCTTAATACGTGCTCCCTTAGTTACCCTGCATCAGACCTACGCTGCTGGGGGCTTCCCATGATGCAATTCACTCACCTTGTGTCTTTATATAACACTGTGCATGTAATAATTACTTATTATTAATCTCTGGCAGTCTTCCACTGGTGTGTCTTTTGTCCTGTCTCCCTCCCCTCACCCCCAACCAGTCGAGGCAGATGGCTGCCCCTCCCTGAGCCTGGTTCTGCTGGAGGTTTGTTCCTGTTAAAGGGGAGTTTTTCCTTCCCACTCTCGCCAAGCGCTTGCTCATAGGAGGTCTGATTGTTGCCGTTTTCTCTGTATTTTTGTAGCGTTTTTAACTTACAATCTAAAATGCCTTAAGGCGACTCTTGTTGTAATCTGGTGCTATATAAATAAAACTGAAGTGAACTGAATTGCGAATACAGGGAATACATTTGCATCTCATTGTTGAAATAGGTCTTTTAGGCTGGATGGAAGTGATTTAGATTTGAAATAGCCCTGAAGGTACTTCATTCTTCAAGCTTAATACTTCAAAAAATATACAAATCATAGAACCTGGAGCCAGTATTAGGAAAAGTGGGGACAAAGTCTTGCTTTTAATTACAAACGTGAAGAAATGTTTCACTTAAAATGACAGCACTCTTTAGATCTATGGGGCACTTAAGCATCCTTTAGAAAACAGTTTTCATTTTTACAGCCTGTAACAACACTTCTTTGGTCCATGCAAATATTTTCAGCCAGAGCAGGTAGATTACCTCAGGAAAAATAAGGTGGGTTTTTTTTAATGTAAATGTAAAAAACTTTATACAGCTAATAGGATTAATAATGACTCATTGAGTCAAATCACAGCAAAAATGAGAAAAAATACAGAACTTGAAATCCTCAAATTACTAGAAATGACAAATTAATACTAATAATCTAAATAGTAAAGTTTGCCCATAAGCCCTTAACTTAAATATGTTGTTTCTGAATAGCCCAGGTGTTCATCAGTGTAGGGTTCTTAGATGAAAGAGAAAAAAGACCCAAAAGATAAAATCCACAGAACAGGACAGGGTGCAAAACTATACGTTAGCATGTTAAGATGGGTAGATCAGATTGCATTTCTAATGGTAAAGACAGTCAGTTGCTCAAACAAGAGCAAAACCTAACGACGTACAAAAAAGAATGGAAACAGTTTCCACCTCACACATTTTGAAATTAGATCAAAAAAGAAAAGAAAAGAAAAGCTAATAATAGATGCAAACTTGCAGAGCCATTGTATGACTGCAGAGTTACTTGCTTATGTGTCATAGAAAAGTGCAGAAAAACATGATGTGTGTGAAGATCAGGAAATGGTATCGTGCTTATGACCTGCTGAGCTCATAAATAAGCACATACAAAAGAGGCAAGTCGCTTCAAATAAAACGACTATATTAAATCTTACCACCATCCCCGCGTCTATATTTGCTGTACGTGCAGCTTTCAGAGTCAAGGTAAGCTGCTGGGACTTTTCAAAATAAGTGCATCTACTGGTATTGACAGCCACATATTGCAACAGTCTCGCAGAGTTGGCAAGAAGCAGAGGGCTCATTCTTCAGTTTGCTTTTCAAGCCGATCCACACACAAGACCTAAAGCTGGCAAGATGCCGCCCCCATATGGAAAAACCCAGACACTGAATTCCACAGAAAATTTGGTCTGGTGAAAACCTTTGATCTCAATGAAGCCTTTTTGCAGGGCTGATCAATTTAGTGCGAAGAAAACAAAGCATTTGAGTTTTAGCTATCGCTTTTCCATCACAGACTGTACAAAGAGTTACACAGATGGCATCTACAGGAGGGGAAAACTATTTAGCTTATTTAAGAAATGTATCTATGCTGTGCACTCATACTAAAGAGAACACTTAGAAAATGCTGTCCAAGGACCAAGCGACTTTGCAGCCAGAGCAGCACGGAAACGGATCATTGCTTCTGACCTTATTTAGAAATAGCAATCCTATCTTGATTGCTCTGTCTAAATAGATGCTGCACTTTGCATTTTGTTTATCCCCTGTTGCCGTGGGGATTGTCACATCCAGAACTGTGCATGTGTGCGCATACAAAAATGTCAGTTGTTATGCCGGACTGCCCCCCCCCCACAGTTTTTCCACAAACAGAACTGACACAAAACAAACACGAAACTGATCGCAAAACGAACTGAAATCGCTCAAAGTTTTCACTTCCTAGTGCCTCCTACAGGGTGGTTCACCATTATCTACTTTATTTTCTGCATCTTGCATTATTCTGTCCCCCTAAACCGCTCCTAAAAAAATCTGAATTCCTCGTTCTACCGTTTGCAGATGGACGACATAGACGCCATGTTCACTCACCTGCTCGGAGAGATGGATCATCTCTCTCAGGTGAGTTTTCTTTTCTTTTTTTTTGTTTTCAATTTGATTTGATTGTGATGCTGTAAGCTGATGAACATTTAAGGTACATGGTAATCCCTGTAAAAGATTGGAAAATGTGTGAATAATGTTTCATGTTGATATTGTGCAAGATGCCATTCTTTTGAGGCAGGAACAGGTTAATGGAAGTGAATAATCCACTCAGTGTTTTAGTCATAATCTGGGCATTGTCTGATTACAGCCTTTTTGTTTTTGCAACGGGCATCCTAAAGACGACCGTAATGCTGACATGTGAAGTCATCATCTGTGGATTGGACTGTGGGCGATGGCTGCAGATTTCCTTAAGCACACATAAGCTGCTCATCATAAAACTGCAGCTCGCCAAGAAACACATTATACACTCATAACTGATTGAAGCCTGGGTCTGAGACTTGGCGTGTTAGTGTCAATTTCCAACCCCTGCATGTGAGCTGCAAACGAGCACGGCCCTGAGAATGGAATCAATCTATGTTCAGTATTACATCATGCTTACCAGAAAGGCTCCATTTGTCACTGACTTGCATCCTCTTTGGAAAGCCATCAGTGATAAACACCATTCCAAAGACTATTAGGAGAATTCGCGAGAGAAGCATTTAGAGTTAAGCGTCGACCCCCAGAGACTCTTGGAAACAAAAGGATTTAAATGATTCCATTTATTGCCTTGATTGGGTTGGTTCTCTATGCTTTACTGCCTTGGAGGTAGAAATTTTTTTTAAAAGGAAAGTATAAAAAGGTCTGGTCTAAAGAGGCTTGGAGGTGTCATTTACAGAGCAGCTCCAGTATGACCAAATGTGTTATTAGGCAAAGTCAGCAGGGTGGAACAGCCCGCTCGGAGGCATCATTTTGTTTGCAGGTTTTCTGCCCAGGTTGTTTATGAGTGAGCCTGCAGAGACAGAGCATGTTAACAATTAAAATCATACAGTTTGAGTCTGTTTCTTGATAGCAAGTTTTTTAATGGTGGGGACCCTGGAATATCAGAGCCATTTCCTTAGTTCGGAAGGCCCAATTATAAATCAGTGATTATCTGTAACGTTGTGATGAATCGTTCTTTCTTAACAAACACACTTGTGATTTATTATCCCCTGCAAACACTGAGCGCAATGTGTTTTGTGTTACCGATTTAGCTCGGAGACAGAGCGTGATGAAGTACAGGGAAACAAGTTACCAAGAGACGGCAGTTCAGAGTACTTTGAGGACACAGGGTTTCGATTTAAAGCGCCACCTCAAACTATGAACTGTTGCTTCCCTCCAAGAACACGACCTCTGTGATCATACATGTGTTTTTCACGACATGCAACTGTAATTCATGGCTGTGGGGATGGCGGGGGGGCTCTGATGATGTCCCTGCAGAGTCTGAAGGCTGAAGGTGACTCACCAGAAGCAGATTCTGCCGCCCAGACAGAAAAAGCCTTTTCCATTGGCTTCAACGACCTGAATGGTGAGTAGTCATGCAGATGAAACTGTTTCACAGAAGAAAAGCGCTCCCCCTCAGCCTCCGAGTAGATGCTATGGCATTAATTTGAAAATCCAAGGTGACTTCCTTCTTGAGTTATCACATTAACCAAGCTTTTCAGAAAACTTGACCTA